CTTCCCGAACGGGAAAAGCACAAGGGGCAGAATTCTGGCTCGGCGGCTCAATTCTGCGCGGTAGGGTTTAACGCGCGCCCCAGTAGTGAGTAGTGAGTGGTGTGTAGTGATTAGTGAGTAGTGAGTAGTGGATAGCGAATAGTGAGTCGTGAGTAGTGTATAGAAATCGGGTGAGGATTAGAGTTAGGGGTGAGCGCAGGGCTAAAGAATCAAGCTACCCACCCGCCCGCAAGCCGTCTAGCTCACTCCCACCCGCTTTCCCGACACATGATAAACACCCGAACCTGAGCACAGCCATCGTCTTTGGATGGACAGCTAATGGAAATCAAAGCCGAACCAAGGTGCGCGACGCTTGGGCGAGCCGCGCCACGCGCGCCAGGGGCGCCACGCACGCCAGTCACCCCTGGGGCCCGAGCGTGCCAGGCACCCCTGGTGCGCCAGATGCGCCACGTGTTCCGAGTGCGCAAGGTGCGCCGCGCACTCCAGCCGCGCCAGATGCGCCATGTTCAGGGCGCGCGCAGATTGTGCCAGGTGCGCCTGCGCACGTGGCAGCACGCATCGGGGAACATGTCGGCCCCCGCCATCCTTGTCTAAAAACCAATGCCCGTCCTTGTGTGTGGTAGGCCTGCGCACAGCAGGCCACGCGCCGCCACCCCCGCGGTCCCTGTCAAAAACGATTTGGCAGCGATCGCAGGATGGCCGCGCACTATCCAGATTTAGCCTCGAGGTGCATGCTGTATTGCTCTCGTCAAGGATGGTACCCTGCGCACGGCAGGGAATATGCTTGCACCCCCGCCGTCCTTGAGCAATCCAAAATTGTCGCGAGCTTCGCGAGCATGACCCAAGACTTTGCCCCAAAGTGTATTTTGCATTGTTTCTGACAGGGATGGCGGGGGGGGCGCATCGGGTTGGCCGCGCATGCTACACATGTAGAGACAGAGTGCGGCTTGTATTGTTTTTTGACAGGGATGGCGGGGGACGGGTCGGCATGGTGTCGTCACGGTTCCTGGTTGGACGCCGGCCGCCTGGGGGAGGGGGGGGGGTATACTAATAAGGAACGGTGATTAGGGTTAGGGGTCGGTGGTAGGGGTCGGGTTCTGGTGGAGCAAGTGGGCGGCGTGGCGAAAGGGGGGGCAGTTTTGAGTCTCAAGGGAGGGAGGGGGGTGGGTCGGAACCCCCCTCCCCCCCTTTTTAAAAGATGGGGGGGGTCGTCGACGACGGACCAGGAAAAGAAGGGGGGTGGTCCCCCAACGACGGACCGGGAAAGGGGGTGGGGGTCCCCGACGACGGACCAGAGAAAGGGGGGAGGGGGGGGTGTCCGAACCCCCCCCACCTCTCAAGGCATCCAGCGGCGCGCCCTCGGTCTTGACGGGCCTTCCGCCCCAGGAGGCCCCCAGGAGGCGCCAGAAGGTTCCGTCCTCTGAGCGGGGTATCCCATGGGTGGCGTACGCGTACCACTTACGCCACTCGAGGAGGAGGATCGCCACTTACGACAGGGCGCAGGCTTCGAGGGCGGCTTCGAGGGAGAAGCGAGGGAGAAGCGAGCAGGGAGGAAGGAGGAGGGAGGGAGGAGTAGGGAGGAGTAGGAGGGAGGGGAGGAGTAGGGAGGAGTAGGGAGGGAGGGAGGAGTAGGGAGGAGTAGGGAGGGAGGAGTAGGGAGGAGTAGGGAGGAGTAGGAAGGGAGGAGTAGGGAGGGAGGAGGGAGGGAGGAGTAGGGAGGGAAGGGGGGGAGCATCCGTGCGAGCGGAAAATCTGACTCGGGTGAGCTGGCCCGAAGCGCTTCACGGTGCATCGGAAGCAGAAGCCGAAGCCAAAGTTGAAACGCACAGAGAAATAGAGAGGGCCCACCCTGCAGGCTTGGTTGACAGCGCATCGTTGAGCGGTGGTGCAGCCCCCCCTGAGCACAGGCCCCCCCCCCAGAGCATCAGCCAGACAAGTCGGGTGTGCACCTTCATGCGCGTTTCAGCATTGCCAATGCCGACGTCACCCCCTCGTCAAGGCCACCGGTTCGAGTGACGGCGACAGCTACAGTGGCGGTGGCCGACGCGTCCAAGGTTTGGCGGCGTGCAAAGCCAGATTGCGAGAAGCTCGATATCATCTGAGCCGGACGGGGGGAGCAAGAGCAGCAGCAGGGAGGGGAGGCCAGACCGACGGAGAGAGCATGATAAGACAAGACAACACATGACATGAACAAGACAGGACAGGACAAGACAAGACAAGACAAGACAAGGCAAGGCAAGACAAGACAAGACAAGACAAGACAAGACAGGGGAGCACCCGTGCGAGCGGAAAATCCGACGCAGGTGAGTTGGGCCGACGGCGCTTCACGGTGCATCGACAGTTGAAGCCGAGGCCAGAGCTAGGGTGCACAGAAAAATGGGGAGGGCCCACCCTGCAGGTATGGTCGACAGCACATCGTTGAGAGGTGCTGCGGCCCCCCCTGAGCACAGGCCCCCCCCCCCCCAAGAGCATCAGTCAGACAAGTCGGGTTTTCACCAGCATGCCTAGCTGGACTTTGGGCGCGTTTCGGCACTGCCACTGCCGCCGTCACCCCGTCGCCACTGCAACCGACCCGGGCGACGGCGGCAGCGACAGCGGCGGTGGCCGACGCGTCCACGCCTGGCGGCGGATGAGGAGGAGGTGATGAGGGAGGAGGAGGAGGAAGAGGAGGAAGAGGAGGAAGAGGAGGAGGAGGAGGAGGACGAGGACGAGGACGAGGACGAGGAGGCGGAGGAGGACGACGAGGAGGAGGAATGGTGGAAAGTTGCATGCGGAACGCATGCGAAAACGGAAGCTGCATGCAGAAGGATGCGGAAGCGGATGTTGCAGGATTTGTCGGAAGTTGCATGCGGAATGCATGTGGAAGCGGAAGTTACATGCCGAGGGAGGCAATGAAGTTGCATGCAAAATGGGGGAGGAGGTAGAGGAGGAGGAGGAGGAGGAGGAGAAATGATAGGGAGGAGAGGAGGAGGAGGAAACGCAGAGAGAGAGAGAGAGAGAATAGGAAGGAGAAATGAAGGAGGAAGTGGATGTCATGGGACAACAAGAACTTCACTCATGGTCTGGGGAACAACACAGAGTGATCGCGGGGCGCCCGCGCATTGCATGGTCGAAGATTTTGCAGCGGGGACGTCTACAGTTTAAAAGCTGAAAATATACGCTTCCCCGATGGAAAAAGGAAGCACCCTGGGCCACCTCCGCCCAGTGGACTGGCGAGATGGTCAAAAGCCTCCCGTCGTGTGTTTGGTCAAGGCGTTCCCCCCAGCTCAGCACAGGCCCAGCAACGCCCTGGCCCACCCCACCAGCCGCGTTCTGCCTCTGCTGACCGCCCCCCTCTCGGCGCACCACGGGACAGCCCGCAGCCCTCCGGCGGCCGCCTTACCCTCAGCCTCTGGCGTGCCTCCTTCGCCACCCGGTCTTGGGGCCGTCAAAAGCGGTTCAGGACGAAAAGCCCATCCCCGAGAAGGGGTCCAGACGGTTGGTGGATAAAGTGTTGTGCACTTGTTGTGCTGGTCTTCGAACATAGTGACGCCGAAAGCGTTATGTGGTGCAGAGACTTGGACACTCGCCGCACCCCTGTGGCAGCACTTACGACGGACACAACGACGCATGCTTCGCATGATCTTCAGAACGCTAAGGCGACGCACAACAACACAAGCATAACCTCACAGCAGCCAATGGCCCACTGCTGTCGACGTCACAAACAGCGAAGCACCAGACAACGACCACTGCACCAATAGCACTAGCGACGACGACGAGGCAGACAGCAACCCACTCCAGCGCGACACGCCTGCCACAGCGAACGTGCACAGCGAGAACGGCGAAGACAGGACCACTGTAGACACGGTGGAACCTTGGGTTGAATACATTCAGCGAGCGACACGACGCGCAGAGCACCCGCATCGACAATTAGGCGAGGTTGCACAAGCGAAAGGTATGGCGCACGGCTTCCAGAGTCGCACACCACGACCGCACACGGTGGACATGGCGAGTGTTGCAATGGCAACCTGACCTCAACCCGCGCCAGCGGGGACACAGGCAGCACGGTCGCCAACGCAAGCGTTGGGACGATGAAGTCAACACGCCAACGCAGACCAGACCTTCACCGACCGCCCGCACATACCCACTCGAAAGGTGAACCAAACGACATAACATGGATGCGCACAGCCCAGGACACCGAAACATGGACGGCGCTCGAGCATCACTACACCGACCCCGCACCAGCAAGCTCACAGGGCCAAGAACAATAGCATGAACTCCCAGCAAATGTCGAGACGGCACGCCCTACCTGCGCCGACGCCGACACCAAGGATTTGTTTTGCCTCCCTTCTTCCCTCCTCGCCCACACCGACACACGAGCATACCGAGCAGCACGCCAGCGACCTTCAGGACCTTCCTCCCCCCCCTCCCTCCCCTCATAACTTGTTGTACAGTCTCGCATTGCATGTTGTCCAGACGCGCCAAATTTCTGAGGCCACGGCCTTGTCCACCTGGTCTTAGCTAGGCGCGGACGGTGACCGCAGCGGTGGTCATATCGTATCGTCTCGGACCACGCGCCCCAATTTAATATTGGCGGGCTGCGCCTCGATGTGTCGATCTGCCGACCCGCCGAATTCCTGCATCCCATTGGCGATGCGAACCAACATTGTGTCCAGGGGAGGGGGCGCGTTGGAGTTCGCGCCAGCACCCCGGTCGCGCGAGTGGTTCAGGCTTCGCTCCATCAACTGGACCTCCGGGTGAGGCCCTTTGCGACGTCGGAGGTCTGCCGGACGGGACTGCGACGAGGATAAATCCGTTCCAGAGCGGTCCGGAAAGCTCTCAGAGCGTTCCGGAACGCTTGGGAAGGACGCGGCGCCCGATACATCCTCCAGAGCCGCTGGATCTCAGAGTTTCTCGATTCACCCTCACCCGATGTTATCGTCGTCCTGGCTTCGTCTCAGTGTGGGCAGCCAGCTTGCAAGCCTCGCCACCGCTTCGCCCGAGCCCCTCCCGCCCGCCAGCACGCTGGCTGGCGTCCCCGGCGGGCCCTCGACCACGGCGGCGCTGGCCCGTGACGCTGGGGCGTCCACGGGGGCGCGCCCGGAGCGGCCGAGCCAAAGGCCCCCCCTTGATCCCTCGCAGCGCAGCGCCTCGAAAAGGTCGAGGCGGCCGGTGCGTAGCAGTGTTTTGGTCTGGGTCTCCAAGACGCCCCGAGACAGCCCCAAGAGGGTTCCAAGGGCCCCTCCCGCCTCCCAGGGCACCTCCCAAGAGGCCAGAATTTGTCAAAAGCCTGAGGAAGATCAAGGTTGTTTGGCTTCTCGAGCTTGCGCTTCCGATGAGCTTGTTGGGCCTCATGATGATTCCAAGATTGCCCTCGAGAGGCCCCAGAGGGTTTTGGTTTTCTAGGCCTCCCTAACAATGTGGTCCGAGTAGATAGGGTCGGTGCGTCGCACCACATCGCAGATGCATCGGGGATGCGACTCGATATGGAGCCGGACTTTTTTCCACGCTGGCGTCGCCGATGTATCGCCGACGTCGCCGATGCACCGTCCATGTCGCCGATGTATCCACGACATCGGCGCGATCCACCGACCCCAGCTACTCGGACCCAATTTGGGAGACCTCTAGTTTCAGTCCTCGGGGCCGACAAAACCAACTCGGAATGAGAAATGGCCCTGCACAAGACGCCTCCCAAATGGCTTCCAGACAGCCCATGAGGCCCTCAAGACGCCCTAAGAAGGCTCCAAGATGCTCCCCAAGAGCGCACCCTGAGGGCCAAAAGTGCCGCATTCCCGTCAAGGAAAACGTCGATTCCTATCATACTCGTTTTTTGAATCTTCACGGCGTCCAAGACGGCCCCAGAGCCACCAAGAAAGCCTCAAGACGGCCCCACGGAGCCCCAACACGGCTCAAGAGGTGCCTACAACAGCCTAAGATGAGGGCCCTAAGAGAGGCCCAAAAGGGGGCACCCGAACTCACATTTCGAGCCCTCTGCCCCAAGTGGACCCCCGAGACCGCCAGCAGGCCCCAAAAGAGGCCCCCGAGAGGCCCCGAAAAGCTTCAAAACTCCCTCCACGAAGCGCCCGAGAAGCGCCACTACCCATCGGTCGTTGAAAGTAGGTATTTTTGGAATCCCAGGTTCCAATCTACTTTAAACGCCTTCCTACTTCAATGATCGAGTGGCTTCCCCTCTTCCCTCCTCTTCAGGGAGCGGGCGGAGACCCAATCTACTTCATCGCCTTCCTTCTTCATGTTTCTACCTACTTCTTCCGACCGATGGGTACAGCTATCCAAGAAGCTTGTGGCCTAAAATTTTGTCACGGTGGCGGTATGGGCCGGAGGCAGCAAACAATTGGCCTGGTGACGGCCCCATCCTTATGCAGCCACGTGTAACGCAGGGCGTAGCCCTCTCTTCATATATTGTGCGCTGCGGGACTGAGCTGATCGGGGGACACTTCCTCCTTCTCCTCCTCCTCCTCCTCCTCCTCCTCCTCCACTTCCTCCTCCTCCTCGTCCTCGTCCTCCTCCTCCTCCTCCTCCACCTCCTCCTCCTCCTCCTCCTCCTCCTCCTCCTCCTCCTCTTCCTCCTCCGTCTCGTCCTCGTCGTCCTCCTCCTCCTCCTCCTCTCCTCCTCCTCCTCCTCCTCCTCCTCTCCTCATATTCCGCCTCATCCTCCCCCCTCCTCCTCCCTCCTCCTCTTCCTCCTCCTCCTCTTCCTCCTCGTCCACTTCCTCCTCCTCCTCCTCCCCGTCCTCCCTCCCCCAAGCGGTCCGAGCCGCTTGGGCGCAGCGCGCCGCATGCCGCGCCCGCCAGGATGTGAACGTGGTGGTGTACTCCATTCGCCAGGCCTGGCGAGGTATTTGGCGGGACGGGTGCCATGTCTTTTCTTCGTTGCTTGGGCTTCAATGCAATGTGGGCGAGCGGCGATTGACGATGTGAGATCATGAACGAGACTCGCAAGTGTGATGCTGTGGCCCAGGCAGGGGCCAAGTGCGTGGACCATCCTCAGCAGGGCCCCCGTGTTCTACGTCAGCGCTGTGCGGGCCGATTGGTTCTCGAGTCCCATACTATACATCGCCGCACAGTAACACCAGTTGTGGGTGTGCGATTGGGCTCGGCAGTCATACTCGTGAACCGAAAGAACATCGCCAGAACCTGAGTGAGTCCTCCCGAAGCTCGAGGTCGGGCCCTGGCAGCTAGGGCAAAATGCGGGCCGATTGACATGTGCCCGAAGGTGGTTCACTGCCCTCCGCGCCCGAAGTTGCGAGCTCAACGCCCCCAGTACTTCGCGACAGTGCATCTCATGGCGGCATAGATTGCAATGACGCTGGATACGCGCCTTCAGCGTTGCACAACACCATTCTGTTATGACCTAAGTACGGTATTGGTCAGTCTCGTGGGCCTCATGGGTGGGAGAAAGTGGAGTCTTCAGTGGTCGTGGACGCCCCGACGCAGGAACAACTTCGTCGAAGTGCGGGGCGCAGCCTCTACGTGAATTTATGGAGTCTCACTTCATGGTCGCTGGCAACACGGCTGGACATGCGCGAAACAGTTTGTCGGATCCAGATGGAGTTCCGAGCAAGGTTGATTACGTTGTTTTACATGCATTCGCAATGCAGCGCACGGTGAGAGGGTGCTTCCCACGTCGAGGGTTGGGGTCCACAACGCAAGCAGCCCGAGGGAGGCCCCCAAAAGACCATGCACCTTCGACGTGCACCACGACGCACGACAAGGCCAGCTTGCTGGGAGGCCCGCCGACCCAACGCATGAGCTGGAGCCACGGTATCATAAGATCTTCTCCGAAGAAAGGGATCTCTCGCGCCGAGCGATTTTCATGGATTTCGCTGGCCCCGTGGATTGCCACGAGCACATCATAAGCTCGAAAACTGAATGGTGAAAATCAACCGTTTCATTTGGATTCTGGAAGGCAATATGAGCGTTTGGGGATTCCACTGGTCCACGAAATCACGACCACCGACGAAATCCACAAACTTTCCTGGATGTCGTGCGTTCCCGTGGATGGTGTCGAATTCTGTTAATTTTGATGGTTTCGTGGGTTCGAGAACTGAATGGTGAAAACCATTTGTTTCATTTGGGTTCTGGAAGGCAATATGCGCGTTTTGGGACTCCACGAAACCAACGAACACTAACGAAATCCGCTTTGTTTCGTGAGTGTCATTGGTTTTCTCTGATTTTGCTGATGCGCGTGGATCTCTTGGATTTCGCTGATTTCGTGCATTTCGTGAATTCCCAGGAACGCATCTTACATTTGAAAACCTGAGTGGTGAAACCATTTGTTTTATTTGGATTCTAAATGCAATATGAGCGTTTCCGGGTTTCACGAATTTACGAAATCGACGAGTATGAACGAAATCCACGAAAAGGTTGTGGATTTCGCAGAATTGCGTGGGTTTCGTGGACTCGCATGGCTTTCGCTGACGTAGCATATTTCTATCGGTTGTGACAGATTTCGCGGATTTGACACGAACCCGCAAAATCGAGGACAATCAACCGAAATACGCGACATCCACGAAAGCCGTGCGAATCCACGAAATCCACGCAACTCAACGGAATATTTCTTTTGTTTCTGGGAGTTCGTTGATTTTCTTGGATTTCGTTGATTTCCGTTGATTTCGTGGATTCGTGGAATCCCAAAACGTTCATATTGCCTTCCAAAATTCAAATGAAACAATTGGTTTTCATCATTTAGTTTTCGAACTTCAGATGCGTTCGTGGCAATCCACGAAATCAGCGAAATCCACGAAAATCTACGAAATCCATGGAAATCCACGAAATACATCAAAATTCGTGCATTTCGCTGATGTTCGTTGACTTCGTTGGTTTTCATTGGTTTCGTGGAATCCCAAAATCGCTCATAATCTCTCCCAACATGCAAATGAAACAAATGGTTTTCACCGTTCATTTTTTCGAACATAGGATGGCAAGCTACGAATTCCACGACATCCACGAACATCAACGACATGAACGAAATCAGCAACACCTACGAGTTTCGTGGATTTCGCGCAATCCCCCCCCAAAAAAAAAAACGCGCTCGTTAAATTCTGCATCCTTAGCGTGACGCAGCGATGAATTTCGCGCCTTGTTTTTTCGTGAAGCCAGCTCGTATTTGGCGACGTCGCTATTATCATTTCCCCCCCTCGTGGGCGAGTTCGCAGATGCTCGTAGCCGCTCATGCCACGAGCGCAGATGTTTCGCAGTGGCGCAGGACGGAGCGTGGACTTCAAAATTTCAATGAATGTGGGAAACTCTTGGTGCGTCTCGAAGGCGCTTTGGGCTGTCTGGAGGCCGTCTCTGGCGTCTTGAATCGCCCTTGGACCGGGTCATGTCGAGCTCTCTTGGGGGCCACTTGACGCGCTCCTGGAGCGCTCTTAGGGGCCAGCTGGGACCTGGCCGAGACCTGGCTGGGGCCTGCCCAGGATCTTGCCGGGACTTGCCCGGGGCCGCGCCGGGACCTTACCGGGGCGCTTTTCGCCCCGGAACCATAGCAGCCCAGCGAGAAGAGGGGGGGGCCCAGCGAGGTCGAGCAGTCCAGCGGCGGAGCGGCGGCAGGCAGCAACAAGACGCAGAAGAAGGAAGCCGAGGGCGGCGGCAAGGGCGGCAAGGAAGAACGCGCATCGCGGAGATGGACGCGCGGCTATTGCTCGCCGCCTCGCGCGAGATCGCAGACGTTGCCAGCGCGGTCTTCTTCGGGCGGGGCATCGCATCCGATCGCTGCCTCCCCGCGCAGCTGGCGGCCGCGGGCAAGCGGTGAGACGACCGGAGCAAGGACATGAAAGCCTAGCAGAACCAGGGCGACGAGCAGGACTTCAGAGGGAGAGGGCCGCCCCTCGTGCACAACTTCGCGGCAGCGATGGAGCACCGCGCGCAGCGCGCACATACATCGGGGCCTACGCAGGGCGAGGAGGAGAAGCTTCTGCAGGAGAGCAAGGACCGGCGGCAGCAGTACATGAGCCAGGACCCGAATCTGAAGACGGTAGGTCGAGCGGTTCCGCACGTCAGGCGCAGCCCCTTACGCAAGGAGAAGAGGTGCATCATCATGATGAGAACGGAATTCAACAAGCCGACGGGAGTGGAAGCTTCAAAGATCTTGGAGGCGGCAATCGGCTACGAGGGCGAGGAGTTTCTGATGGAATCGGTTCCGAAGGGGCCCATCGAGCTCGAGTTTATGGTCTGGGTGAACAAAGCAGGCGGAGCTTAAGCACCAGCGCGCAGCTTCAGCAGCCGATTACGAGTGGACAGGTGGCCTCCGACATTCTAGAACGATCGGAGCGGCGTACTTCATCGTGCAGTGACCCTGGGCTGCCGCCGATCCCGACACTTGTACTAGTTCGTAGGCGTCCGTCGCAGGCCAGAGGGAAGGGCCGGGATGGTGGTGGTCGGAGCGGGGGCAGAGGGGAAGGAGAGGAGTTCCCTGAGCCTGCGGGCCGACCTCCTGCTGCGGGATGCGTGCCCGCTGGAGTGTCGGACGGGGCCAATGCCTCTGCTGGGGTGAGCGAAGGCCTCGCCTTAGAGACTGAATGTGGGGTCCGTAGAGACCCACCCGCAAGACTGAGCGCGCGGCGAATTACAGCGTGTGTTCATGCAGTGACGTAGTGCGGTCGATAGCACAGTCAGGACTCCATGATTTGTTCTAGTTCTAGGTATAGTTTTCCTCCTCTTCCTCCTCCTCCTCCTCCTCCTCCTCCTCTTCTTCCTCCCCGTCCTTCTCCTCCTCCTCCTCCTCCTCCGCCGCCCCCCCTCCCATGTTCCGCGAATTTGGCTCCAGGGGGGTTCCTGCCAGTCTGCTGTCTCAGGCTGCCCCCCCCGCCCCCGCCCGGGGGCCCGGTGCAATCCCGCGCACACCGGCGGAGCGCGCGGAACGCGCGGTCTCCGTCGAGGCCCACGGTCGCTTAGCCGCCCAAGGGCCACCAAGGGCGGGGGGAGCCCAGGAGCCGCCTGTCGGACCCCTCCCCGCGCCGAGGCGCGACGAAGAGATCGAAATCGGCATGAAGGAACGGAAGGGGTCCTTCGAGGCCTCCCACATGGGGCCCGAGTACTACATGGGGTCGGAGGATCGTTCCGCATCGGCGATGCGGCTCGATGTGGAGCCAGAGCTCCTCCCTGCCGAGGACGCGGATGCATTGGCGATGCGCTGGCACTGTGGCGCGGTGTTCGGACCCATCTGTTCGGACACCGTCTAGGAGGTCTCCAGTCCTGGAGGTCCGCCGCCGCGTGCGGGGCTCGCGGGGCGCGTCCTGGGGCCCTGGGGCCGTCGAGCGGGGGCCAAGAGATGAGCGGCTGGTCCTGGGGCCCTGCGTGGGTCAGGAGGAGAAAAAAAAACACTCAGACACCATTGATCGTCGACCCCCTAGGATCATGTGGGAAAATGATGGGTCGTGGGGGGAGGACAAAAATCCGGAGAATAGATGGGAAAATAGGGGGAGTCCTGGGCCCCTTCAGTGGGGGGTGGGGGGGGGCCATGCCCACGGCCCGTTTCCATCAGGCCCCGCGCCGATCGTGCCAGAGCAGCCGAGGGAGCACCACGGTCGGTGGCGCGGGCCTCGGCCGTGCGCACGCCTGGGGAGGGGGGTCCTGGTCGCTCCCGGGGGGCCCTTCCAGCCCCCCTTACCGGCCTGGAACATATTCCTATCCCTGTGCTGGGCATCTCCTCATCACGATGCCAATCTTAGGGATTCCCTTAATTTTTGAGGGCGCATCCCTGAGATTGTCATCGCCTTCTGGCGTGTCAATCTTAGGGATAGGGATAAGTTCGAGGCTGGTAACCCCCGGGCGGCGAAGCGGCCGTGGGGCCAGGCACGGGCATCTGCAGCACGCGTCCGGCCACAGGTTTCCGTGGCGGGTCGCAGGTGCAGCGATGAAGACCTACCAGGGTTATGCCGTCGTCGACGCCTTGATCTTTTTCGTTGCTTTCCTGGTGTCCCTGACGGCTGTCTTCTCCGACTGGTGGAGGGGGGAGGGCGACGCAGCTGCGATCGGTGTGACAACAACGAGGTTCGACATCGGCGTCTGGACGATGTCGCTGGTGGTGCTACGCGAAGGAGACGACGTCGTGCTCGGGGAGACTCCGAGCTACACGGCGGATTGGACCTGGGACCAGGCTTGCGAAGCCTCCGTGGCCAACAGCGAGAGCCGTAGCAGACCACAAGTGTGCAACTTGGTCTTGGTTTTCCAGATATTCAGCGTCTCGACGCCCATCTTGTCGTTCCTCGCATCGATGTTCATGAGCGTCAGCTTGTGTACCTCGAACCTGGTCATGGTCCTTGGCGTGATCGGTGGAACGCTAGCCGCCCTTTCCGCGCTCTTTGGGATGATGGTTGCAGTCCTCATCCAGACGACCGGCCTGGGCTCCTCTGGCTTCATCATGTACGCCTTGAGTACTCTCTTGATATGGAGTGGCACAGCCTTCGCCGTTCAGACCGCCTCGAAGGCGATGCCTCCGCCGCAGGAGGGAGGACGGGAAATAGGGGCGAGCGAAGGGGGCGGGAGGAGGAAACGGCGAACGAGTCGGAGGAAGAGGCGGAGGCGGAAAAGGGGGGCCAGCGGGGTTAGAGGAGTCGGAGGCAGAGGAGGAGGAGGAGGAGAAGGAGGAGGAGGAGAAGGTAGAGGAAGAGGAGGAGGAAGACGAGGGGGAGCAGGATGAGGAGGCCGAGGAGGAAGAGAATGAGTTCAAGAAATAAGAGGATGATAGGGATGGGGACCATGGGGAAGGGAAGGCAGGGGAGGAGGAGGAGGAGGAGGAGGAGGAGGAGGAGGAGGAGGAGAGGGAAGTTACACGAGGAGGAGGATTAGGATATGAAGGATTACGATCGGAGGGAGGATCAGCAGGAGCACGAGGAGGTTGGGCAGTGGGCTGGAGGAGGTCTCCCTGGAGATGCGGAGGGGGGCGGAAGAGAAGGAAGTCCAGGAGCATGACGGGGATGATCCTCCTCCATCGTTCCGCCTCCCTCTTCCCGTTGTGTCCTCTCCCCCTCCGCCTCGTCTTTCTTCTCCTGTCTGCCATGCTCCACTCCTACCTTTCATTTCTTCCTCAGTGCCTCCCCCTCCTCCTCCTCCTCCTTCTCCCTCTCCTCCTCCTCCTCCCTCCTCCCTCCCAGGATCCGCCCAAGAGGAAAATGCCCCGGATGGAGCGCGCTGCGAAGGCCAGAGCGGCAGCGTCGCAGGATCAGGCCAGACAGGAGGAGATTAAGTCGAAGGTAAACATTGCCAGGTGGAGATGCGCCAACACTACAGCGGGAGCCCATGCCAAGGAACACCCTGCTTGCCTCCAGGGTGCCCTGAGTTTCTTGGGGTTCGATGGTTTTGCGATGGAAAGCGTGACGCTCCCCCACCAAGGATCAAGGGGCGTCCTGGGGTTTCAGGGCTAGGTTTCTTGCGGAAGAGTTCTTGTGGTCGGGCCCCTACTGTACATACCTGCACCGATCCTTTGCCAGGCCAACCCTGGGTTGGGCCAGGGGGGCGTAGTTACTGGTCCTGGGCGGCCCAAGCTTGGCCTGGCCAGAATCGGTGCACGTGTGTAGGCTGGCGTCGTCCCCCAAGGGAGACCGCGCGCTCAAAAGGGCGAAGCAATCACTCGGATGCATCCGACGACATCGGAGGTGCTGAAAGGGTTCCACCCCAACATCTGCAGGCGGTGCTCTTCTGGAACCAGAATAAAGATCTCGACGACGTCGCCGCACAGCAGAGCGTCCCCACGGAGATGCTCGAGATGGCGTTCCAAGAGATTGACGAGGACTCAAACAAAAGAGGGGACCAGAACACTTTGATCGACAGGTTTGATTATTAGACCAATATTCCTTGCGAAAGACCCAACCACATGCAAATGTGAGCACCGCTAGGCAAGTGGGACGAAGGAGGTGAAACTACCAACGGAGCCACGCAACGTGTGAGGGGTGTGCCGACATGGGTGATGCGGTGGCATGTGGACCCTTCCACTGGTGCATGCGGTGGAGCCCCCCATGGGGCGACGGAACGCGCGCGCGGTGTACTGGCATGGGTGCGGCGGTGGCATGCGGACCCTTCCAATGGAGCTCCCTTTGAGGCCACGAAGCGTGCGAGATGTGTGCTGAAATGGGCGCGGCATTGGCATGCGGTGGAGCTCCCTGTGAAGCACGAAGCGTGGGAGAGATGTACCGAAAATCGTGCAGCGGTGGCATGCGGACCTTCCCAACAGGGCCTTCGATGGAGCTCCCTATGGGGCCACGAAGCGTGTGAGGGGTGTGTCGACATGGGTGCGGCGGTGGCATGTGGACCCCATCAGGGCTTTTGGCGGGGCCCCGTATGGGGCCACGAAACGTTTGCAGGGTGTGCTGACATGGGTACGGCGATGGCATGCGGACCCTCCCACTGGGCCTTCGGTGGAGCTCCATGTGGGGCCACGAAACGTGTGAGGGGTGTGTCGACGTAGGCGCGGCGGTGGCACGCGGACCCTCCACTGGGTCCTTCGGTGGGGCTCCCTATGAGGCCACGAAACGTATGAGGGGCGTGCCGACACGGGCGCGGCGATGGCATGCAGACCCTCGCACCAGGGTCTTCGATGGAGCTCCCTGTTGGGCCACGAAGCGTGTGAGGCGTGTGTCGAAATAGGCGCCGCGGTGGCATGCGAACACTCCCACAGGGCCTTGGATGAAGCTCCCTATGGGGACACGAAACATGTGAGATGTGTGTGTGTGTGTTTGTGTGAGTGTGTGTGTGTGTGAGTCTGTGAGTCTGTGTGTGCGCGTGTGCGTGTGTGCATGTGTGCGAGCGCGTGCGTGCGTGCGTGCGCGTGTGTGTGTGTGTTTGTGTGTGTGAGTGTCCGTGTGTGTGAGTGTCCGCGTGTGTGTGTGTGTGAGTGTCCGTGTGTGGGGGCGTGTGTTTGTGTGTGAATGTGTTTGTGTGTGTGCGTGCGTGCGTGTGTGTATGCGTGTGCGTGCGTGTGTGTTAGAGAGTGAGTGTGTGTGTGTGTCCGTGTGTGAGTGAGTGTGTGAGTGAGTCATTGAGTGAGTGTGTGAGTGAGCGTGTGAGGGAGTGAGTGTGTGAGTGAGTGTGTGAGTGTGTGTGAGATGTGCAGGAAGCGAGGCATATGGATCAACTGGCACGCCGCGTGGGACAAGCACGTCCAGCGCATTGGACAGATGCGTCCCGACAAAGGCAAGGGCAAAGGCAAGGGTCAGGACCCTGTGGGGAAAGGCAAGCGACGCGCCGACCCCGCCTGGCCCAACAACGAACAGGCCAGGCAGCGCCTACCCAACACCCGCACACCACACCCCTGACGCGATTCCCGACCGTCGCGGGGCAGGTGTCGCCTCCCTTGCTACCACCTCCTCCTCCTCCTCCTCCTCCTCCTCCTCCTCCTCCTCCTCCTCCTCCTCCTCCTCCTCCTCCTCCTCCTCAGGCACTCACCACGCACACCGACCCAGGCGCGGCACCCGCACTCTGCCGGCCCAGTGGCCGTCCATAACCAGCCCCAGTGCCTGCCCTGGCCTCTCCCCACGCTGGCCCTGAGAGCACCCTCGCCGCCAGCCAGCCCTACGACCTGCTCCGGTCGTCCTGGCTCCCGCCTGAGTTCAGGAGGAAAAGAAACACACAGACACAATTAATCCTCGATTCCCCAGAAAATATGGGAAAATATGGGAAGTGGGGGGGAAGACAAGAACCCAGAAAATATGGGAAAATATGGGGGATATTTTTATTTGTGTGTATTTATTTGTGTGTCCCAATTCCCCTTCATGAGTCTACGGCAACTCCCGCCGCGCGCCCGCCTGCTCGACGACGCGCGGCTCCGCGCGGCGCCCGACCCGCGCCCCCGGGCCCTGTCGGGCCGCGGGGCGCAGGCTCGACCCCACGCTGCCCACCCGGTGCACCCGGGCCAGGAGGCAGCGTCCTCTTCCCCGTCGCTGCGCACCGGTCTGATGCCCCTTTTGCACGCCCCCCCTGTCCACATGGACTGGGGGCGCTGGCTTCGGCCGCAGTTTAGGCCCTTCCAAGCACGCCCGCCGCTGTCAACCTGACGGCGGTGGTCTCCCCCCTCCCCCCTTTCCCCCCGCGGCCCACCCTGTCCACCCAGGCAGGGGGGACCGTCTCCCTCTTTTGCCACTGTGTACCTGTTCGGTGCCCCTCACCGCCCCCTGCCCTCGCCCGCTAAGCTGGAGGCGCTGGCTCCGGCCACAGTTTTGCTGGCCAAGGCGCGCTCGCTACCGTTCCACTTGACGGTGGTTGGACCCTTGTCCCCCTCTTTGGCCCACCCAGTACGCCCGGGGGGGTCAATCCTCATTTACACCTTGACACGCGCAGGTGAGGTGCCGCCCGTCCTTCGCCCCCCGCCCGTGTGCCGCCCGCGCCGCCCCGCCCCCCTGGGCGGCTCTGCCCGCGCCCCACTCCTATGGCCAGCCCCGCTCGCGGCGGGAATTTGTCCTTCCAGGCACCTTCTGCTGCCCCCGTTGGGCACCGACCGGATGCCGACCCTTCAGCGTCCCCTCCGCGCTGGTGGTGCTCCACGCCGCGCCGCCACCCCGCCTGCTGGGTCTCCCAGGCTCTGGGAGCCCTCTCGCTGCCCCCGCTGGGCGCCAGCAGTGCGCCTGCCCCCCAAGCCGCCCCCTCCCTGCGCCGGATGGTGCTCGGCGCCGCTGCTGCCGCCCGACCGCCCCGCTTGTGGGTCGGGGTCTCCCAGGCGGGGTGTCTTCCTCCATGTTCACTTCTGGATTTCTCGCCTGTTCTCCCTCCCTCCGCGCGGCCATGGCTCTGACGGGCTACTCGCAGCAGCCGCGCTGGCGCCCCGGGCCAGGTCTTGCCGCCCGCCGCCTGCGTCCCAGCATTTTGCTGGGAAACCACGCCCGCTCCCGCCCTGGGGGACGTTCTGCCACCAGCTGTTGGCTCCACACTGACCGTTTGACACCCTTGTCCCACTGGGCTGGTTCCAGTCACCGCACTGCGCCCCGCCGCCGCCGGCCCCCTGGTGTAATAACCGCCACGGACCCCGCCGGCGGGGCCGGCCGCGCCACGCGCTCCGGGCGTGACCCGTCCCTCTGGACGGCCTCGCTCCTCTCCCCTCCTCCTTAGGCCGTTTCTTCTGTCCTGTCCCCTTCTCCTTGCATTGTAGCACAATTCGCTATAACGGTGCCCCCGTTTAGTTAGATTTCCGCCAGCGCAGTTATTCTGCCTAGCCGCCGACGCAAAAAACTGTAAGTCCGTGTGTGTGTGTGCGTGCGTGAGAGTATATGAGTGTGTACAGTGGAGACCCATGCCAAGACACACCCTGCTTGCCTCTGGGGTGTCCTGGATTTCTTGGGTGTCGATGATTTTGCTGTGGAGGGCGCGACGTTCCCACAACACAAGTCACTAGAAGTCTTGGGGTCTCAGGGTTGGGTTTCTTGTGGACGGTTTCTGGTGGAGCGGCCTCCACTGTAAATGTGTGCGTGCGTGCTTATGTGTGTGACTGTGTGTGACTGTGTGCGGCTGTGTGCGAGTGCGTGTGTGTGTGGTTGTGTGTGTTGGTGTGCGTGTGTGCGTGTGTGTATGTATGTGTGAGTCTGTGTGTGTCGGTGTGTGTGTGTCCGTATGTGTTTGTGCGTCTCTGTGTGCCTGTGTGTGCCGGTGTGTGTGTGTGTGTTTGTTTGTGTGTGGGGGTGTATGTGTGTATGTGTGTGTCTGTGTGTGTTTGTGTGTGTCTGTCTGTGTCAGCGTGTGTGTCTGTTTGTTCGTCTCGGTGCGTTTCTGTGTGTGTGTCTCTGCGTGTGTCTCTGTGTGTGTCTCTGTGTGTGCCTCTGTGTGTGTCTCTGTGTGTGTGTCTCTGTGTGTGCCTGTGCGTGTATGTTTTTATGTGTCTGCCTGTGTCTGCCTGTGTCTGTATGTGGTCTGTTTGTGTCTGTCCCTGTCTGCCTCTGTCTGTCTCTGTGTGTTTGTGTCTGTCTCTGTCTGTCTGTCTCTGTCTCTGTCTGTCTCTGTCTGCCTCTATTTGTGTCTGTCTGTGTGTCTGGGTGTCTGTGTGTCTGTGTGTCTGTGTGTGTGGACATGTGTGTGGATGTGTGTTTGGATGTGTGTGTGGTGTGTGTGTGTGGTCTGTCTGTCTGTTTGTCTGTCAGTCTGTCTGTCTGTCTGTCTCTCTGTCTCTCTGTCTGTCTGTGTGTGGGTGTGTGTAGGAGTGTGTGTGAACGTGGGTGTCTGTGTGTGCGGGTGTCTGTGTGTGTGTGGATGTCTGCGGGTGTGGGTGTCTGCGTGTGTGGGTGTCTGTGCGTGTGGGTGTCTGCGCGTGTGCGTGCGTGTGCGTGCGTGTGTGTGTGTATGTGCGTGTGTGTGTGTGCGTGTGTGCGTGTGTGCGTGTGTGTGTGTGTGTGCGGTTGTCTGTGTGTGCGTGTGTGTGTGCGTGTGCGTGTGTGTCTGTGTGTGTGTCTGTGTTTGTCTGTCTGTGTCTGTGTGTCTCTGTGTGTCGGTGTGTGTGTGTGTGTCTCTGTGTGTGTCTGTGTGTGTGTCTGTGTGTCTCTGTGCGTGTCGGTGTATGTCAGTGTGTGTGTGTCTGTGTGTGTGTCAGTGTGTGTTTGTCTGTGTGTGTCTGTGTGTGTCAGTGTGTGTGCGTTTGTGTACATGTGCGTGTCTGTGTGTGTCTGTGTGTGTGTGTCTGTGTGTGTCTGTAAGTGTGTATGTAAGTGTGTCTGTGTGCGTCTGTGTGTTCGTCTGTGTGTGTGTGTGTTTGTGTGTGTCTGTGTGTGTCAATGAGCGTCTGTTTGTGTATGTGTCTGTTTGTGTATGTGTGTA